AATAGAAATTTAACCAGAATGTGGGATAAAATTAAATTTAAATTCTTGTATCGCAGATTATTTTTACAATCTTGAATGAAGAATCATCAGTTAATAGCACATAATAACAGGAGATTGTTATTAGCTTCAACCGATGTCCGATGTTTTCACTTACTCTTCTTTTCAGTTTCCAATAGTTATAGATGTAAACAATGCCATCGGGATCTACGTCTAATTGCTGTGAAGCGATATCTTTTAAGCTCACATGTTTGTCAAATTCTGCTTCGATTTCTTGCAGTCTAACGAAAAGAATAGCCATACAATGCAACAATCGATTGAAGGAAGTTAATAGAGAAACATAGATTGAAAAATGATTAAACGTACTTTGCAGCACGCGCTTGATTTTTTTCTTCAGAGGTCATGTCTTTCCTCTTGCGTCTCCGAGATTCCGCATCTTCGGAATCTGATCCTGCTTTGTCAGCTCCACTTCCTATACTGCTTCCAGTGCCTTGAACTTTGTCTTTTGTATTTGTTCTACTATGTTTCTGGCAGTAAGACTACACATAAATTATTTACGTTATTATTTTTTAATTCTAGAAAAATGTAATTTTTTTTTCTCATTATAATTTAATATTTTCTGAATTCGATATTTTTGTATCGGTTAATATAAAAATAAAAATATTCTATTTCTCCTATAATGTTTAAAGTAATTCTTTTATTGAATAATACCCTTAATTTTACTCCATCGTCAGCCATTTCATCTTCAATAATTGCCTTCATCTCCAAGCCATATTTGAAGGCACACGTTACATGATAAGCTGTCTTACACGTCTTTATACTGCACTGGATGCAAGCACCGACCCTTTCTCGGCACAATACACATATTAGGGCCCATCGACTTTGCTGTAAACAAAAATTTTTATTTTTCATCCAATGAGATTTGTACTGAATATATGTATATATGTATATTTCACATACCGGAATGCTGGATATTTTTGTAATAGGTTCCATTCTTTCGACACAGCCAATGCTGACTTCTGGGATCCATAAAGCACAAGAAACGTGAGCCCACTTTTGGCCACTACGTGTACATTTCATAGCACCACCTTTATTAGGACAAAGAACACAATCCGGTCGTTGACTCAGAGAACAAGTTCTGCATAGCCATGAACCATCTGGTATTGAAGTAATTCCATAACATGCTTGATGTACACATATGTTACAACAGTCACAAAATACCATCTCATTTCCTTCCTCAGAATCGGGCTAACAAAATAAGTTTTAATGCGTTTCAATATTGTCAATGCTATTCTATGAAATTAATTAGAGAACACTTACAGATCTGCAAACATCACAGATCACATTTTCATCATATTCAATACCAAGACCTTCCTCATTTTTTACTATAGTCTGTATTCTTTCCCAACAACGAATTTCTAGTTCTTCTATTACACGTTCCAATTGCGATTCCGTAATAGGCAATTGACCAGCCTAAAATTATAATACACCAATGTAATAAAATTGTACAATTTTGAACAAATATATAGTTTTATATTTTTACTGTACAGTTACTATATAAGCAGTCAAAGCTCCTTCATTTTTTAAAGAAATCAAGTAAGAAATTTCATCAATTCATTTGTGCAACGAAATTTTATATGATGGAAATTATTCCATTTCAAATATACCTGTGCACGTTCACCATTTAATACATCCAACCAAGCTATATCAGTATCATCCAGGTCATAGGCACAAGCTTTTTCTGCTCGTGCTGGTGTTGTACTTAAATGATGATCTTCAGGGTTAAAATAATCGTCACGAGATATCCTTACAAACTTTTTGGGTCTAAAAAACATTGTGATAAAACGAAATTACTAAAAGACTTTGCATTATGTTTATTTATATTACTCATAATTATTAATATGTACATATATAAAATTTAATTAAGAAACGGAAATAAAAATTACGTAAGAATATAAATTTGGTTTTAAATTATTTTTTAAATATTACTATCCTTTTAGAAAAATAAAATCAATAATTTCTCAAAGTATTTTATGGTTCCTTGAACTATTTTATTATGCAAGATTATGCTCTAATATCTGAAGATGATTTTACTCTTCTAGCATTATTTGCTATAGCACAGAACATATAGCGTTGCTTGCTATATAATTATCATAGTCTAGAATTACTTATTTTTAACATATTTAATAAAAAAAAAAATTATAACTAAACTTACAGTTTAAATTCACTGTGCTGCTTTATGGGTGTTGCTTGTGTGATTGTGACTGTTGGTTCCGGAAGGGAGTCTGGGTTGACAGGTACTTGAACACCTCTCTCCCATTCTTGTTTCCATTGATCAGTAATAACCCAATATTCATTGGGACTTAATGGCTCGCTGTCAGGTAATTTCATTGCGCTAATCAAATCCTTACGAAATAATTCTGCAGGAGCCTCAGCAGAGGAGCGGTTATATATACTAGAGATTTTAATGTCACAGACTGGTCTGGGGGTCCAGGATGCCCCTCCTTGACTGGACGACGCCATCGTCTCCTCCTCTTCTGAGGGCCCCATGGTAGCTGCCAGCGACGACGAACCCGTCGCTGGACCCAGCCTACATTTGCGCCTTTTGATTGCGCCTGGGCAAGACGCCAAATCATTGTCGTTTCTATTTATTCGTTTGCCTCGCTGTGCCATTCTACTATACCAAGTAAGCTAGCAGTACGTGGCACGTGCAGGTGAGCTGCGCGCACCCTAAAATGTTTTGTTATTGTAAATTAAGCAAATGATAAGAAAGAAAGTTAAAAAAAAGAAAGTGATTATTTAATTACTTACTACATAGTCGTCCATGTATTTATTATCTAGAAAGCGGATTCCTCTTGGAGCTGTAACAACAAAAACATAATTGTAGCTTTGCCCTAACTGAAAAGGAAACTAGAAAAACTTTTATTCGAAACTTCTTTAAATAATTATCAACTGCATCTTAGCGCTATGAATGATTCCCTGTGCAAAATTAACTATTCTTTACAAATAAAGGAATATTTGTCGAATATTGCATGACTTTAATAAGAGTATTACATAAAATAAAACTTCCATGCTTACATACAATAGACGGAGTATATATCACATTAGAATGGTAACAAAACAATACATAAAATCAACAACGTGTGCATCGCGTCAAACAAATTTAAATTAATAACTACTTACAAAGAAATAATGGAAAAGAGGAACAAATCTATCGAAAAATGGTACATAAACACAATGATAATACACAACATTAACTGTGTAGAAAAAAAAAATACATGGAATACGGTCATTCAAACATATTTCATACGACACACACTGTTTAACAATGATCATCAATGTAACTGGAAACACGTTGTTACACATAAGAAAAATATAAAAATGACTGTGTATAAAGAATTGATATTACACAGAGATCATAAGCCCAAGACACAAAGCATTCCTTTTCAAAGTAAATTTTTGAAGGTAACACTTGAAATTCAGAGCTAGTCAATAACAGAAATCCACAACTCTGCCAATTAGCACATATCAAGTTGTTTATATCGGAATTCTAACGTAACGTAAACATGTTTGAGAGCATAAAACTCGGACAAAAGGACTGATGGTATAGACCGATTGTATTGCAGGGGGTCTGCGGCCGTTGATCCTCGATGGCCGCCGCGGAGAGGTTATAAATGGGGCAGTCCAGTAGAAAGAGTTACAATCTGAACGAAATTGTTTTCCCGTAATGTAACAAGACGCCGAGCAGTTGGAAAAACACAATAATCGTGGTGAAACTGATGGCCGTGGCGGGTGGCATGTAAACATTGCGACGGAGTTACTCCGCGGCGACGCTCGAGCGGCGCCGAGGCTCGACCGTGAAGGATCGCCGTATGACTTTCGATGACTCGACACGAGAAAGTCGAGACTCGCGGCCGAGAATAGACGTCTAGAAGAAGATCGGGCGGAGAGTCGAAAATGCTCACGGGTCCATTGGGCTGGTGGTGCTCCTGCTGGCCGACAACATTGACAATACAGATGGCGACAGGCTCGACTCGCACACGAATCTCGATACACACGTATACACATCGGAACGCACACGCAATCGAATTTCAATACACATGCACACAAATGTAAGTAAATACGCACACGCGACGTGAATGCATAGGTGTGCACGAGCGTAAGTGTACACGCACACGACGTTGGTACGAACACGCGAGCACAGGTTCGACACGCACACGCGAACATGAACACGCACGCGCGCGCAAGAGAGAGCAAGAACGAAAGAGACAGAAAAAGATAGAAATGGTCAGAAGGCAGTAAATGCCTTATTATTGATCTATCGACGGAGAGGGTGATTTCGCGCGCGATGATGCACGTGACAAATAATAGCCGGTACGTCTGATCGTGAAGGATCGAATTATTCTTCGATCGGTAGCTCCGAGATGGCAGTAGTCCGAGTACGCCTCTGTCACGGCAGCCTAACCAAGATGTCCTCATTAGCAATTCGAGTCGCAGCCGCGACTAGCTCGGTTTTACTCACTTCGTGGCCCGAGGGCTCCTGTCGAGTTCACTCGACGCCCTCAAATAGCCTCCGTAAGGACACCCGATGGCTTTCTTCCTCGCGCGGTGCACCAAATCGATATTATATTTACATTAATGTGGATACTGCTGTTTGGCGCCATCATGCCTAAAAAAATAACTGTCTGAGCGCGGAGTCACGTGACCCCACGACACGGCAGATCTCGCGATTGCTTTTATCCATAGGGCACTACCAGCTCTGGGAACCGAGCAGAATAGAAACCTGTGGAGTAAACTACCACGCGTATTTCTGACAAACCTTGCTTTTACTCTTCTCTGACGTCCATTGAAAATTCAACAAAGAAACATCGTTCTTTTTTCGATTCGACGAAAGCTTATTTAATAAAATAAAAACTATTTCTTCGTATTTTTAAAAATTTAGTTTTTACTTATGTATGATAATCCTTTGGGATCGAACTTTTTTTTTCGACAAACGAATCGAGTTAAAAAAAGAATTTTAAACGGTAGAAAAAAAAACTAAAACGTAATGTTTCAAACGATTTATCCCTGAAAATATTTTGCACAATAAATATTACTATATCATCTAGGATTTTTACTAACTAACTATTCTACAATGGCGCGCTCACAAGTAACTGGTATCGTTGCAAGTCTTAAAAACTAATTTTGATGCGTAACTTATGTTCGTTTGGTAACAGCAACTACTATGATAAATTACATATGCGATTATATCTGACAGTTAAAATTATTTAACATATTAAAATATTTAAAAATATATTTTGAGAATATATTTTATATTCTTTTTGATTTGTACAGACTTTCTATCACAAAATTTTCTCAAAGCATTTAATAGCAGTCTTGGTTATTATCTCGAAAGTACACTGAAAGATTGAAGTATTAACAATTTTATTTATTTTTGATGTATACGTTGCGACATATAAGATCTATATAATAACAGTAATATCTTTCAGGTATCTTTTATATATTGTTGATGTGCCCTTAAAAAATTAATTATTGTATACAAAAAGTTTTCCAAGTTCTGTGAGTAATATTTTTTTACTTTTCTTTTTCAAGTGACAGATCGAGGTTTTCTTAGAAGGAAAATGTTGTTTTAATTGTTTTATTTTCAAAAACATAAAAAATAAATCATATTCTTTAATCGCTTCGAAGCAATTGAAACAAATATTCAATCGTAAAACAATTCTTGTTTATGTCATAGAGGTTATGTTTACATCATAAAGGATGGAACAGGTATTTTAAGGAATATCTTTTTTTTCTATTATTGTTGACACTTTTACAACATGGCATAGTAATTTTAGGATTTAAAGACGAAAATCGATCAGGCCTGTCGAACGGCCGAAGAATTCACAAAGCTTTATTATGAAAGTTTAGACAAACGTAGATACGTAAGTTTATTATTATCTGGAATTATTATTTTATGCAAATTAAGTTACAAACTTAAAAAGATTAAATAGAAAACAAATGAATTAATGGAATACGTGTCATATTTGTTTTAGCTCATATCAAGATTATATCTAGATACTGCAACTTTAATATGGAATGGAAATGGTATCGAAGGAAAAGATAACATACAAAAATTTTGGACAGATTTGCCACCTTCAGATCATTCTATTTTTACTTTAGATGCTCAACCAATAACAGGTAAAGAATTACATGCATAGTTTAAACATCTTGTATTTGTAGTTTAATTAGTTATGAATTTTTATACTTAGTATTACTGTTTATTTTTTCATTATATTTTGTATAAATATTCAATATTATTCAATATTAAATATATATAAATGTATTTAATTATGGTACTAGGTCCTGAGATGGCAGATCAATTAACATTCCTTGTAAAAGTTGGAGGACAAGTGAAGTATGATGACAAGATATCGAAATCATTTAGCCAATGTTTTCTAATTACAGCTATGGGAGATAAGTGGAAAATTGTAAGCGATTGTTTTCGTGTGCAAGAGATATTAGAGAATGTAAATTGAAATATAAAATGAGACAATTTGTGTTCTTAAAATGTTCAGAGTCCTTGATTCAATATTTCTTTTTATTTCTATCGTCGGTCTTATATCAATGTATAAAGCGATATTAAAATTTTCGTATTAGTGAATCAGTACGTTGGTCGATCATTTAGGAATAACTTTACACGAGAAAAAACTAAAAATAAATATAGATATAAATACTTAGACATAAACATTACTATGATACATATTGTATAAAACATCGATTTCATATTCTTTGACAGCTCATCAACTTAAATATCCAATGATTGATAAGATTTTGAGAAGTTCTAAATGTACAATTTTTTAAATGAAATACATATCAATATAGTTCGTAATACTTCTTAAAGTCTATAAATATTGCCTATAATTACTTAAATTTTGAAAGAATCATACATGACATTTTGTATTTATATTAACTGTGTTTTATTTTTCATCAGTTAATATAAACGAGATTAAACGTAATAAAACAAAATTTCACAGTTAAATATAACATGCAATGAGATTATAATACAATTATCTATAGCGTCTGTAATCTGTCATTCCCATAACAAGAATAAAAAATTGTTTTAAAATTATTAAATATAATTAGGCTAAAAGATCACTTAAAATGTTAAAATATATATGAAACTTGAATTACAATGTTACGTATGATCCTTTGAAAATAATTATGTATTTACAGATAACATTTTATTGAATACTTTGCTTAATAAACTAAGAATTGATTTAAATTCCAGTTAAAAATCTGTACGCCTAGGACTTCTCAAAAGAATTCGTTCGTTCGATCGCTCGTCTTTCCCTCCCACCCTCTCTCCCTCTCTTTCTCGCTTTTTTTTAAATTTGAAGATAAAAGATAAGTCGATCGGTGTATCACAGGTACAAATGATGCAAAAAAAAGAGAAAAAAAAAAAGAAGAAAAAGAAAATACAGAGAAATGATTGGGTGATCAGACCGAAAAGAGAGAAATTCCGGTTCGCATAATTAGCGTTGTCGATCGATGTGTTTCTAGTAGCCATATGTAGGCAGTGTTATAAGGAAAAAGTCTTGATTGGCAAATCGAGTGGCATTTTCATTCTCGTTGCTTATTTCTTATTTTTAAATGATCAAATAAAAAATATGATTTCAGACTCCGGAAACTCTTATTGGAAGACCAGCAAATGAACAATTTTACTAAATTAATATATTTAAACAAAGAAAGATGTTGAAAAATTAAATACTATACTATGAACATTTTTAGAGTGATAAATTTGAATTCGAACAGCGCAGTGAATGCAATCACTTAAACTTTAATTAATGAATTCATGGTTCATTAGAATGAACTATCATCGTGCTATAAAGGATGATAAATTAAAAAAAAATAAACATTAATTTCTATTGAAGTTAATAGTATATCTGCTTTTTTCCTCGATTTTTTAAGAAGCATCCGGAGTCCTTCTTTTCTATTAGCGCTTTGTGGAAGAAAATCTACGCTATGTGCGCAGATAAAACAAAATATTTCAAAATTTGATTAATTACATCCGCTGATTTACATAAATATATACAGCAAAACCTTGATACTACTTGATCATATACAAATCTGATTTTTGATTATTGTAATGCTTGATTGAACTTTCCATTATTCAATACTAACTAGTAATATTGATACAATTAAGATTGATAAATATTAAATTTTTATAATACACATTATAGTAATAATACATGCTTGATATAGTTATTCCATGAAAATAAATTTACGATAGTTATCAATACAAAAGCAATAAAATGTTTATACGAATAATAAATATTTTTAAAATATTGAGACATGTTAAATGGATTAAAAATGGAATAGAACGTAACGAGAAGTGAATGAGGGTTGATTAATTGAAAAGTTCATCAATTTAAAAGTACTTTTTCCGACAGATTTCTCTAATCAAAGTTTTACTGCATTATTAAGCATACCTGTTATTCGACTTACTCTATACAAATACAAAAGTTGTTACATCCTCTCACGCATTAAAATGGCTTATTCGCTTAAAAGTTTTCGCACTTACGATGTATAATCTAGCCTAAGACTCTGCATATGATATTACGAAGCACGGCGCAAGAAAGTTCGATGAAAGAACACCGAAATGTTTTACTCGACAACTATAATCACTACATTTATCGTATAGCGGACGAGTATGATTCACGTAGAGTTTCACTTATACAGGATACATGTTGGATCGACGTAAAAATAATCATAATTAATTTACAAAAAGAACCAAGTATTCAGTGTACAAAAAGTATTTTTTTCTATATTCATAAGATAAATATGTATTCTTTCATTTCGATAAACTGCGATTACTCGTCCTATTTTCTACCAATTCGAAACTATTATCCAAAAAATTTAAGGAACCAGAGAGTATATTTGATCCTTATTTTGTATGCTTATTATACTTCTAAATTCACTTTGCTCTTGACAGTACATATTTCCTCTTTTTTCTTTCTTTTTTTCTTTCTTTGCAAAACTCAATACATAAAAAATATAAGTGAATTACATTTACATACTATATGGTCTTTCTTTTCATGATATCAAAAGAATATAATATTTTTATCATAATAATATCTCAAAATTCGAAGGAAAATTGCTAATCGCAGTCTATATTAAAAAATTTATTGATGAAAAAATCGAGAGAGAGATATATATATGTATATTTTTAATTTAGTATTTTAATTTTAGATTTTTTTTTCTTGCTTTTCCATCAAAACCAGTATTTGATTGAGGCCGTATTCGACTTGAGGCCTTGATCTAAAATATTCTTGACTTCGCGTACTCTCTCTAAGAGCAAAATTATATGAAAGTGTTGCTAGGAAAATCATTGCAACGAAACCTTTTAAAATCTTCATTATAAAAAAACATTTCAACTCTCAACTAAAATTGGACAAGGACTATGAAGTTGCTTAACATTGAATACAAAAGATGAAAGATACAACTCTGATACAAGACTTCGGAAAGATTTCCAAAGATGTTTAAAACATTTGCGATTGAGTAACAGACATATACATTAGAAACAGTACCGGATAAAAATGAGGACGAGAATAAGGGTAGAGTTAGAGAGAATGATGTTAATTTCTCTAGTTTATCTTTGTACGGTATTGACAACATCTTTTATCGTGTTTTGAAGATCAGTGAGAAGTCTTGTATTCTCTGCGACATTTCTAGTACCAGCTGCACGAAGTTGTCGTGCCTGAAGCTCTAATCTTGCAAGAAGATCGCGAAACTGAAACCGTGCGTGCGGTGCGATGCCACTGTCTGCAAGATTAGCGCACATTCCGTGCAACAGCCCTACCTTATCTGAAAGCTGGAGCCAGCTAGTCATTACTATCGTTGAGCTACTTTTCAAATTTAACACGCTGTTCTCGATTAACGTTGAAAGCTCCAGTACGATCTGCTTGGCGGTTCTTGAGTCTGTATTCTGCTTGCTTAGATCATCTTCTGCATGTTGAGACTTCGTACAATTTGGCGTTGCGTAAATTGAAGAACCAAAATGTTTAATTGACGAACACAATGGTTTTAGTGGTTTTGCAGGAACAACTGGTTTTTCTGGTTCAGATGGTGGCCAGAGTCTAGTATCACTTTTGCTGCCAGAACTAAAAACGTTGATCATTGTTTTATTATTATTTAAACACAAAAATTACAATAATTACAATTAATGATTTACGAAATTATCGTTACTTAACAAGCAATATATAAATATTACAAAAAGAGAACAAACACTGATATACCTCTGACTACGGGTCGAGGCTCCACTATGATCTTCAGGCGAATCCTCTGTCTGGTCAACAGTTTCTTGTTTACCACTACTTCCTCTGACACTGAGTTTTGGACTGTGAGGCTGACTATCACAGGATTCTTTATTCTCCCAAAGCTTCTTTAAACTGCTGATACTACCAGTGCTTCTACGTTTGTCATCTTGTTGTTCTTCCGATTCTGAAGACTGTTCAGTGACGGTGCTTTTCTCCTCCAAGGATTTTTCCTTCTCTGCATTCTCAACTTTTCGAAGTCTCGCCTTGAAATCGATTATCTGTCCATCAGATGTCTCTTCTTTTTGTGGATTGTTTCGCTTGTCTACTCTTTTCAACTTGAAACCGACACTTCCGCTTGAGAGTATAGACTCAGTCACCGGAGAAGATACGCACGAATCCTTATAAGTATTGTGAATTTGGTGTTGCTGCTGTTCTTGAGTTGCTTCGTTGGTTTTCAAAGTTGATACAGCATACTCATTTTGAGCGTGTCTGGCACAACAAAAATATCAAATACATGTAAAAATAGTTAAGAAACAGCCTACTAGATATGATATATATAAATACTGGCATTTACCTCTGTCCAGAATCCATGTTAAAACTAGCACATAGTTCCGAAAGTAACTGTGATGCTGGATCCAAGAGGGCGGATGGAGTGCTGCTTGTTATTCCAGCTTTCTTCCCAACTGTACCATGCTTCGTTTCTGCACTCTGTTTAATTTCATTTATCAGTTTCAGTTCCAACATCTCTTTCATTCCAGGTTTGCGTTCGAAACTATCAGGGGGTGCATTTGTAGAAACTGGCGGTGGAGGTGGCGGAGGAGGTGGTGGTGCTTCTTCTGGTGGCGCAGCAGGTTCAATTGTTTCTATCCTGGATTTAAAACCTGTCCTTTTATTATCGGTAGTTCTACACGAGTTGTCTTGAATTTCTCTGCGTCTCAAATTCACTCCGAACCTCGAACACGCTTCTTTTACAGACGGTTCTGCGTTACTAACGTCATTTCTATCCTCTTGTTGCTCATTTTCGTCTTCCTTTGAACGCCAGTCTGTACTCTTTGCTTTTCTTATGGATAAAGGAGAGTTTCTTATTTGAGAAATTTCACTGCAAGAAATAGGTGGTGGAAGTTCGGTCTGCTCTTGCCCGGAAAAAATTTCATCTGGCGGAGGAGGTAAATCTGTGGGCGGAGGAGGAAACTCCAAGTCAGCTAACGACGGTTGAACGGATCTCGATGGACTCGCAGTACGGAAATTAGAATTACTTGAAACCCGAAAAGTTCTTAAACCAACAGCATCAGACTGATTGCTCTTTCTTACAGCTACTACTCGGCCACGAGGAGAATTTGGAGGTTGATAAGTATTAACAACACCGCTTGACGAATTACTACGAGTCATTTGAGGCTGACTTCGTAAATTACTTTGACGAGGAGAAAGCGATCTATGTTGTGAATTATCGATAGACGCTTCATGTTGTTCCACTGTACCAGATGTCATAGAAGAAGCCACTGTCGTTGATTCCTGATTCGATGGCATACCACTCTGACGTAGAGATTCTAGATACGCGCCAATTCTAGCACCTTTTGGTAATGTACCGTAACGATTAATAGCTCTCTTCACGTTTTGTACTTCTAATGCACCAACTTGTACCAGCTAAAAATGAAATGAAAATTTAAATTTATGTGACTTGAGTTTCAAAATTTTTTTCGAAAGTTATTTTAATATTCCATTGCAGTAGAAAACCTTACCTTTTGTGGTAGTGGTTCTTTTGATGGATAAGGTCTTGGTTTAATTTGTTTTTGAGAACAGGTCAAGCCAGGTATAGGTTCCGGAGATGTTGAAGGTTGAGTGATAAAATTTGGTTCCGCCGTACCTTGAGAACCCTCTCCATCCTCCTCGATTTCACAGCCTCCTGCAGCAATTGTTCCTTGAGCCATTGTCGCGAGATCTCGCGCAATACCTGAGTTCCCATTTAACAACAAACCGTACCGGTACATATTCTTTTTCTGCTTAGAGTCCCTTCGCTGAGAGCGAACAAGTTCCGTAAGTTCATATAACGAAATGCAAATAGTACGTTTTGAAAATTAAAAGTAAACTTTTTTGCATATGTTTAATGTTTAATTCTCTTCACTAGTCTTAAATGTATTTTGTTGAACAAAAAAAAAAAAAAAAAATCAATAACAACAAATAATAGAAACAGAAATAATAATATAAACACAAATATCAAAATAAACTCAAATAATAGAAACAAATAATAGAAACAATAACAACAAATAATAGAAACAGAAATAATAATATAAACACAAATATCAAAATAAACTCGTCCTTTTTTGATCTATCTATTTCTATTTTTTTATCTCTCATCAATCAAAGAAGAATATAAATGCAGAAAAAATCGAGCATATAAAAAGCTGGATACAGAGCTTACGGTAGGAAACTGAAGCAGTACGTGCACGTATCAGTACGCTTAATTAAAGTAGAATGAAAATACCTTCGAGAATCTTATCAATACCATTTAGATCCGTGGCATCGTCGAGTATCATGGTGTTTGTTTCAGTGTTTTGAGAATCTTGCTCATGATAGGCAGAGTCGCGGAACGAACTGCACGACGACAGCAAGCTGTTACCCAATCGTAATGTTATCGTATCACCATATAATCAATATCTGTCGGTGTTTGAAATCTCGATTATGTGAAAGAAATTTAATGAAAGCAGATTTATGCGAGTAATATGGTAGATAAAGTATATTCCATATGTGTATATACAATATTGAATTATTTACTTATTATTGTAACCAGATCTAAAAAAATTATAATAAACATGTAATAATCGAGGTTTCGTTACACCGAAAGCAAAAAAATTTCATACCTCGTTCTTTTCGGAGGGGCCGGAGCCTGTTTTCCCTTTTTATTTGTAGAACGTCTCATTTGCACGATACTGCTATTGTTTTTACTTGATATACCACCAGTGAATGTGCTCAATTTCGTTACTGAACTGGTAGTATCTACAACAAATAAATGGAGAATCGTAAACTGCTGTAAAATAAGAAAGATCAACTTATTTTGAGTAAGCTGGAACGAGGACTGACTCAATCTTGAACATATTTATACATTATATATAATCCACGATAATAACAGTGTCATCACAAAACCATATTCTACGAATTCCATACATGTATACCTGAAGAAGGTAATGGTTCAGAGACTAGAACGAGCCCGTGGATATTTCCAGTGCTACCAGTCTGAGATTTTTTGTATGAAAGCAAAGGAATTTCTCCTCCTCCTTGCAACTGCTTTTCAACTTCTACAAAGCACAATTATTATATTACGCTTGGACGAATTATTTATATTTTAAAAATTATCTTTATCATTAATGTTTGCATAAAAATCAGGCTATTTTACCTTCTGTAATACTTGATTCTTGAAACATATTTTCAAGAGAATGATGAATTTCTTTGAAAGTAGGTCTGTCAGCAGCAGCCCACTGCCAACATTGCCGCATTAACTCATACACTTTTGGTGGACATCCCGGTGGACATTCCATTCTGTAGCCTTTCTCCAGCATGTGATAAACATCCGTTAAATCAACACCAGGATAAGGAGACATTCCATAGGTTGCTATTTCCCAAAGTAAGATGCCAAATGCCCACACGTCAGACTACAAACATCAGATGCAAATAAAATACAACAATAATCATGAAAAAATGCATAAAAAAAGATCTCTAGAATTTTGTATTATGAGAAAATTCGTTTTACCTTCGTAGAAAATTTGTTATACGCTAATCCTTCTGGAGCAGTCCATTTTATTGGGAATTTCGCTCCAGCGTGAGCCGTGTACGTATCATCCCGCATCAACCGTGCCAAGCCAAAGTCTGCGACCTTCACCAGATGGTTTTCACCCACTAGGCAGTTTCGAGCCGCTAGATCTCTGTTTCGAAAGTCGCGATGTTAACGCGAGCTCGTTTTTTAAAAGCAGAGGACGATGAAATTTAAAACATTTTTTCTAACTAATTGAATGTATTTTTTTCGTGCAGTATATGCGTATCATAATCGTCACTGTAATCTGCCATTACTTTTCTTCAGTGATCCTTGTGACGCTACAAATCACTCCCTAAAAATAGCTACTTACAAGAAAAATACTTTAAATGCAACGGTAACTTTTCGCCATAATACATACCAGTTTCAAAACTAATTCTTTACTAATCATGAAACTATACTATTTTAAGACAAAGTTATAGTTTACAAGATTGAAACAATTAGTTACTTCTCGATATGCATTATTTGAAAAAGTGAGCATTACATTTTATGTACCTTACTCGTTAGATCTTTTAATGCTTCTTTTGCAAAACTTTAAATAATTCCCGATAAAGTTTTTAATTAGTTTAAAGTTCTGAAATAAATATCCAAATATTTTGTAATGAATAGTGTTGTATGATTAATTTATTCAGTAGTCATGGTGCATAAGATCGGTATAAAAATATGAAAATATACTTTCAAATAAATATAAATGAGATTAAATTAGGAAAATCGATTAAAATACATATCAAAATTATTTGAAAATTACATTATGAAATAGAAAAATACTAATAGAAAAGCTTTCGTTTTATTCTCCTTTTAATGTGTGAGAGCATACCTTATAGAGACATGCATTTATTTCAAGGTACACAATACCTGTGAATGAAATTTCTGCTTTCCAAATAACTCATTCCACTGGCGATTTGTGTAGCCATATGCATCAAAACAACGGCATTGATTTGATGTTTGCTTTCATTCCGTAAATAATCTAGCAGATTTCCTTTGCTCATGAACTCTGTAATGATGTAGAAAGGCGGCTCCCGAGTGCATACACCTAATAGCTGAACTAGATTTCTGTGCTTCATTTCCTTCATAATTGCAGCTTCCTCAAGAAAGTCTTTTAGAGCCATAGTATCTTCCTGTAAAATAAAGATATATAAAAATAAATCAAAGTAAATAAAGTAAAAAAAATGACAAACTAGCGCATCAAAAAACTGACCTTTAACGTTTTTACAGCCACAGTCATATTATACCTCTTCCATACAGCTTCATAGACATCTCCATATTGCCCTCCACCTAATTTATGCCTCATGACAATGTCTGTCCTATTAATTTCCCATTCATCAGGTTCTAAAAAATATATATGTATATATACATATATTAATATATAATATAAAAATATATAATTATTTAAGCTTATTATTTTCTGTATACCTGGACTAAGTGGAAAAACAGTAGGTTTATTGTGCTTTGGTGCAGGATAAAGTAATTGTGTGATTAAACCATCAGCAAGCATTGAATGATGATGTACCAATTCTGCCAGAGTGTTAAATTTGCTTTCAGTTGTAACAAACATCTGAAATATTAATATTTCATAATATGTTTACGTCTTATTGGCGTACTTATTAGTATCAAGTATGAAATTTTATACCTTTCCTTCACTGTCTTCATTAATCCTATAATGGTATACCCTACCCTCATATCGCAGAGAAATACTACGTTGACCTGGGCTGCTTTCTGATTCACGAACCAGAAAGCTACCATTTATACCAGAACTTAAGAGATACTCTGCAGCATTCCTAGATATTCTTCCATGATACCAAGAGTGTTTCTCCAGAGAATTTACTGGGGTAACATAATTTGAAGGAACCCATCCTACTTGACCAGTACTTGAATGAGCTTCACACCATTCCCCACTTTTATTATAACTTAAAATACGAACTTGTTCTCCTAAATTCAAATAATTTATATTATAATATAATTTCTTTTTTTATATCTTTATATTTATACGAGATTAGTTTCAAGTCTTTGTCTTCTCTTACTTTCTAATAAAATATTTACGAATTTTTTGTGACAAATTTTAATCATACTTTTACTTATGGAGTCCATAAGTAAAATGCAAAAAAAAAAGAAAATAGAAACACACTGTATATTTTCATAAAATGATCACCTTTTTTAAGACTGAGCTGATTTTCTCCACCTGCTTGAAAATCATATAAAGCCACAAATAATTGAGGATCATCTTCTTCCTGTGCCAATAAGTTTTCTTTACTTGTCCACCTATGAGATATTTTAATATTACAATTTAAATTATTTAAACTCATACTTTAAATACATACAAAACAGTATTATGTAAAATTTATATAAAAAATACATTTTTATGTTTAAATATTAGAATATGAAATATCTGGTAATGAAATAATAAAATTATTTTAAAAAGTAAAATTTAACCTGTTCGCAGCCTCCAGAAGTCCAGCAGAAGATACCACAGTATGTTGTTGAATATTCACTTGCTGTGAAATTGACTGAATGCTGGACCCGTTTGGTGGATCACCGTCTGGTAATGCCGGAATGTGAGGTAGCGGTCTGCTTTGTAGAAGAGCTTCTGCACAACATCATAATACTGTTGTATGCATATGACTATAAATTAATGTGAGAAACTTAATTAATGAAATTTAATATCATTATTTCATTCTGTATTTTATCTTTACAAAAGAATTACAACATATCTATTTTTCATAAACGTTAAAAAAAGCATCACACTACTGAAAAATATTTAATGTTTCCATTATTGAACACAATTGTGTTTGACAATGTTAAATTAACAATCGTGATATTTCAATAAGAAAGAAATTAAAATGACAAGAAATTTATAATACAAATAGGTAAAAGATTTATTCATACGAAAAACTCATTCAACAATTTTATTTTCTTAATAATTTAGTTAACAAGAAACGTTAACGTTAATCAATTTAATAAAAAAAGTACATAAACACGTATATGTGAATGTACTAATTATATAACTAAATTATAGCCTGCAGAGCTTAACTGTTTTATGTACATCGATTTTTATTTAATTTTTTCCCCAATCTTTCACATTTATGATCAGTTCTTCAAAGTGCGTGAATACAAGTGAGAAACGAAACGAGACAGAGGACGAAAGTGCGAGGGAGAGAAATGAAAAGGAACGGAAGTAAGAGAGAAACAGAAGATAAAAGGCAAAGTGAGTAGGAAAATATAAGAAAAGGAATTACCACTGTGCTCTGTAAATATATTAGAGCCGACAAGACGGGACTCCTTGAGGTTCCTAGGCTGTTTGCGTGTTTGTCGCGCGGCAGAGCCGACAGGAACAATTCTCTCCTTAGTCTGTTGAGCACCCATAGTTCCCGAATTGGCATGCCCTTAGATTAATCCCGGCCGCAAAACTGCCGGGGCCGTTCACTCGGCACATTCACTTTCGGCCTGACAGTTTAACTCCCGATCGCATCTCTCGCCGGCCTCTGCCGACGACGAGAATACCCGAGATTCACCAATCTCACCACGAAAGCGAACCTCCTATTCACATTTTTGACCACCATTCAAGATCGACATTCTCGCCATGTTTGACAGCTTCGACGTCGACGATAGCTCGATTCGCACCGTACTGTTTACTACTTTTACTTACCACCAGAGTCATTTCTCCGTCCCCATTGGACAATCAATTTCTCGGACAAAGATCTCATTGGCCAGCAGCTTTGTTCACCGATCACATCGTCCGAGCTCCAAGTTCTTTGTTATTTATTTTCTTTCTCGTCTCATTTCCCTTCGTAGATGCTTTAATTTTCTAAAATACAGTCAATATTCTAAAAAGAATATTTATGAACTTTTAATTTTTGTCTTTTTTATAAATTTTTACTATAAATTCAGATTTCCGGATTTTACTACATTTCTTAATTTGTTCGTTATTGTATCGTTATTCTTATTTCTCTGTTCCATTCGTGAGAGAAATATTAGTAAGAAAGGATCATTTTTCAAATTTGATGATATTCGTTTAGTAACATAACTAAAAAATACTAGAATATGAAAAAATATATTTCGACTGTAATGTACAAAGAGATACATGGTGACAACATGGCGATGACACGAATTATATGAAATTAATCATTATATTGTACAATATCATGACTGTGCAATACGTATTTTAACGTATCTATGATATTCAGTCAAAAAATACCATGGTTTTGGAACACGGCCAACGCTTATAAGATACGTCGATGACTGAAGCGACGGCAGCGCGATATCGGAAACCCGAACTTACGAATAACACGAGAAACCCCGAGAACTGCCGAACTAATTCAGTGACGTCATGCTGGAGCAGAAGAGATAAGACAGTCAAAAAAGTGAAATTCTGTTTTCTAATACATCCGCATTTCGTATAAATATCTTTGTTTGCTACGTAATTTCGAAAAATGTCGTACGCATACCTTTTCAAGTATATTATCATTGGGGATACAGGTAATTATTCAGTGCCTTCCTTCGGTGAATCTCGACTAGTTTCTACATTCTATATTACGTCGACCGTGACAGGACCTATTGTTTTCGTTTCTTTCGACAATAATATTTTTGATTCGTAGACCTTACAACAGTTTTAGGAGCCGCAATGCGCGTATTTTACGATGGCGTTTGATATTACAAATTGAAAATTTCTTTTAATATGGCATCCGTACGCAGCTTCTTTTGTGTAATAATCTCGCCAATTTCGAAAGTGTCGTATTCATTTATTTACCTTACGAACAGATTTCACATTGAGTTTTTTTGCATTCTGTACACGGTATATTTAGCAACTATTAAATATTAATAATTGTGAACTTGTTACAAATATATATTTTTACAGCATTGTTTGATTTGTTTATTTTGATATTGTTTATTATATCAACATAATGTATTCTTAAACATTTTGCTTTATTAATATAAATAATATGAATAAATAAATGCCTTTTAATATTATATATAATTTGATTACGCGTTTCTTTTTATATAATGTATATATATAAAACGTGTAATCGTTACTCGTTAATTTCTCTAATTTTATGAAAATATTTCTAATCTAATGTAATAATTGTTTATCCTAAGAACATGTTTCTATTAAATAGGGGTTGGAAAATCTTGTCTACTTCTCCAGTTTACTGATAAGAGATTCCAACCTGTTCATGATCTAACAATAGGCGTTGAGTTTGGAGCCCGTATGATTACAATTGATGGAAAACCAATCAAACTCCAAATTTGGGATACTGTAATTAATTATATTCTATTAACATTAAATTTATGAATATTTGTAGTAGTAAATTTTAAGAAACAATAATATGCTTATATGATTTAATTAAACTTATAGGCAGGTCAAGAGGCGTTTCGTTCCATTACAAGATCATATTATCGGGGAGCGGCTGGAGCTTTATTAGTATATGATATTACACGTAGAGAAACGTTTAATCATTTGACCACTTGGTTGGAAGATGCAAGACAACATTCAAATTCCAATATGGTGATCATGTTAATTGGTAATAAGAGTGATCTGGATAATAGAAGAGAAGTAAGGAGAGAGGAAGGTGAAGCTTTTGCAAGAGAACATGGACTTGTTTTTATGGAAACCAGTGCAAAGACAGCGATCAATGTAGAGGATGCATTTATCAATACAGCAAAAGTAATTTATGAAAAAATTCAGGAAGGTGTATTTGACATAAATAATGAGGTAAAATTCAAGTCATTAATATGATATTATATTTTTGATATTATTATACATCTCAACAAATTTTAAATGTATCTAGGCAAATGGTATAAAAATTGGGCCACAACATTCACCAACAAGTCCTAGTGGATTAACAGGTACTGGTGGTCAAGGAAACACGCAAGGTGGTGGGTGCTGCTAGGGGCTGGGGGTCGCTTGTCCACTGCTTAATCCCTCTCCAATTTAAATTGATCTTTTTACTTCTACTCCTTATTTTATTCTCAACCAATTACTTTGTATATTTTTTTGCGCGTGTCGCATTACAAGGTAACAAGTGATTATTGGTTTATTACTTTAAAAAAGGACAACATATACATACATACTGAATAGGAATATTATAAAGGAAAATATTATATATTACTTAAATCATAAAACCTAATAAAGTTTTTAATTTGCAGATTCTGGCTGTAAATTTATGTAAATGTATGTAAATTTATTTTATTAGTTTCAAACATGTTTTGTGTGTCCTTTGTAGCAATATAGTGATAGTTCTTAAATTACATCCTTAAAATAATAGATGCTTTTAGTATATACAGAGAATTTTATTTTTAATGTGCTAGAAAGGAATAAATATTATTTTATTAATACAGTGCTACATTAGATTTTTATTAATTTGCATTTGAAGTTAACTTAATTTTAATGTCAAAAAATCAAGAAAAAATTATTAATTACATATTGGATATTGATAAAGCGGGAGAGGATAGGCACTTCTTAATGTTTTGTATTCGTTCACATTGTATATTGTATGTATCATGCACTGATCTTTGAAATCTGATTTAATTTAATGAATCATGATTGATATATATATACAAATCAAAATGATTTGTCAAACATATGATTTACACTTGACTACCTAAGGCGACACCATGTATATGTATGTATCAATGTATGAAATGACGAATATAAAAACGTATAAATCAATTTCATTGTGAGGCCTATCTAACCAAAAATCTTATTACTTTATTAATTACGATTGGTATTGTTATTTTTGGTGTGTCTTGCAAAATATAGTATTCTAATTACAACATTAAACTAAGACAATTTTATAATTTTTATATTTAAGTAAATACAATCGATAAATTTAAACATTTAACGAAAATAAATTCTCTACTTATAACCACTAGTAGTAATGCCAATCAAGGAAATAGAGAAATATTAATGCTATCTATATTTTGTTTATTTAAATGTAAAAATAAATATTTAAACACATTTTTGTTTTGATTATAAGTTTAATATTTTTAAATAGAAAAAGTTAATACAAGTAATCTATATTTATTTGTAAAGGGATTTATATTTATTTATATTATTTATAAAAAAGAAGAAATTTATTATAAATTTTTATAAATTGCAATATGCAATAACTTCCTTTCAAAACATGCTATGATGTTTTAAAAATATACTAAAGATAGATGTATATGTAATCTGATGTCAAATGGATGTAAAAATCGAAACTCGTCGCAACGTGTATTCAATTTTTACACCTATTTAAAATAATATTTATTGTACTATTGTATCCTTAAAATTAAAATATGTATGTCAACTTGAAGAAACACTATTATTCTTTATTAATTACTATTATTAAATGTTGTAAACGCATGATACATTGTCTGTCTATAATAAATTGGACTTATTTTTTTGATTGAAATGTACACAAGCATATCATATATATTTCATTTCAATACGTATTCGACGATTTAATTCGTATTGGTCACAGTGTTAGAATAGATACGAATTGAATCTGTTGTAATATCAATATTCATTTTAGATATTAGATCTGGCGAACCTATTGTCAAAGGTGGATTAGTTTGTTAATATAAGATAATTAAGATTATTTCAATCTTATCTATTAAATGACGACTATTAGAATTAGAGTTACTTTAAAATCTTTTTTTACTTGTTACATTGACTAGAAAAAAATTGATAAAATAAATATAACTAATAATAACAATAATGTCAATCGAATGATTAATGTACACTGGTTATTTTTAAAACCATTTATTGTATTCAATGATAAAAATAAACTTGGGAAAAAGTACGCAAATGATTGTATTAAATATTATGTTTTTTGTCTAGGGATTTTAATGTTTTTCAAAATAAATTTGAAGGGCGTATTATGTATCTGTATGTATTTTAAAAGGAGTTGAAACAGGGAAGATTAGAAGCGTCGTACCGGAAGGAGATAAACAATGTAGGAATAATAAAGTGATAGCGATACTAGCGAGAGAGGAAACAAGATGAGGTAATAAAAACGATAGAATTCAATGATTCGTATGAACGTGAATGAGAAATGTAGAAGTAAATGTTACTTTACAAACGAGTTTACGCGCTAGCAGGTTTCACAAGTCAGCTACGCCATTGGAAGAGCGCTCGAAATAGCGGTTTGATGCACGCTACTGCTATTGCTATATTCCAAGCGATTCACTGTATTCTATCACACGGGCGGACGGGAAGCACGTATTTATTTCGTATTTAATACGAATTTCGATTTGTATTACAGTAATGTTATCTAGTTTTTATTTAAGTTTCTTGTTGTTATCTTTAACATTTATCCGTCGTATCTGATATCGTATCGCTGAATCCGCACGGCTACGTATCGATGCATTTCTAATACCGATCTCTAATTGAAAGAAATCAGATAGATGAATTGATCCGTTGTTTGCCGCACTTTTCAAAGCCAGATGCGTTAATATTTTAAAAGAAGTGCTAGTGCGCATTTATGAAGTTTCCGTTTATGAAAGCCGGATCTATGCTACGTAATCTTTTGAAACAATTCGTGTATTGATGGGAGTAATGAGTTTAACACATAATTGTGTTTTCTAACAAAGCAGGGATCTGGATTTAATGGCATAGGCCGCTGGAATAATCTTAGGTATGTAATACAAGTTTCAATATTTAATTGTACGCTATATCTGCAAAATAAGCGTTTAAGTGTATTAAAGCCTTTTAAATGAGTGTAAGGTTATATCTTTGCTACTCGAGCTAAAACTATTGTAAAAGCGTATTTTCTTCTCAAAGTGCACAAGTGTTTCAAACTATTAAAACTAGACGTGTACGATGAAAATGCGGTCCTTGACCTCGTTTCAACTCGTATATCGTTTCAATGTCTTTTATAGGTTAGGAAATGTGTTTATTATGACTGTACGTATTTGAAGTATTAAATTGTTGACACTACTATTTCGGTATAAATTTTTAAATGTGACAAATTATTATTTGCGAGGAATGTTTATATTCATTATTTTTCGCATTAGTATCGAAAATGTGATGTATACATTGTTCTAAGAAAAATCTGACATCAGCGAACGGGAAACCGCCTCTTTAATGTTCTTTCATAATATACAGATGCATATTATATCGCATGTACTGCGATCTTTCATCAATGAATAAAATTTTATTTTAATTTTATTTTATTTTAAAATTTATTTAGATACACATATTTATATTTGATATTTATAAATGTTTATGTCGCAGTATAGCATGTGCAAAGAAATTAAATAGAATATAACAAAATTATACAAAGTTTAATTATACTCAATTTTTAAAAAAAATATTTACGTTTTGTAACAAAATTAAATTATTATAAATTATAAAATTATATTATCACTATTTGTAGAAAATTTTGACCCTTGACAATCGCTTAGAAAATTAAAAGAACAATAGGAATATGATGCCTCTACGGTCAAGGCCGTATATTTAAATTGAACG